TCGGGTCACTTTTTCGAGTTTTACATGTTTCTAGGCTAGTTTTTGGAGCTGAATTCGAATTTAGCAACCATTTGAACATTTACGAAGTAGTTTTGGTGACTTCGTAACATGTTACGAAGCTGTCAGAGGCGGTTGACACGTACTACGAATACCCGTCACGACGCTTACTGGTTGACCTGACCTGACCTGACCCGACCTGGTCTAAATGCTTCAAGACATCATCTGTGATCAAAACTAACACGATATTCGTGATCAGCACCCCGAAAAACCCCTTAGCAGCCACACTTTACGACTTTCTAACAGGTCCCGATTTTCCCGACTTTGGGTCATTGACCTGACCTGGAAGGTCAACCAATGACCTAGGACCTTAAAATTGGGTATCATCGGCTTCCTCTCGTCACGGGCAACACGCTCGTTTTTTCCGCGAAGCTCTAGCTCGATCAGGGGCCAAACGGCAAGGGGGGGTCCAACCGACCCCCCCCCTACACATTAGAAGCTGGCAAACGCCGCACACATGCGAGGGTTAACAAGCATAACAATAGTTAACCCTCGCCGGCACAGGGGGGTTGATGAAACGGATGAAACCTCGCCTAAGGTTTTCCGCAAATAAATTGCGTAAACAGCGGCCGATCGCAACCAAACTGTCAGTACTCTCGAGTTGATCAATTTTACACTAACCCTGAAATTTTCATGACCTGGACCCAAGTGACCTTTGACCTGTGACCTACTATTTGAGATCATGTTTGGCCGGAATCGCGATTTGGCGTACCTATGTCGGCTCGCATTAGCCGCGCGTTTGCAGTCTTTTCATGGTTTCAAGTGTTCAAACATGTGACTTGATGCTGCTCCCATGCATTAGGATGTATGTCAAGGTCACCGGAAGGTCAGGTTAGGCCATTGACCTTTGATGACCTGGGCTCACTTTTTCGAGTTTTACATGTTTCTAGGCTAGTTTTCGGAGCTGAATTCGAATTTAGCAGCCGTTTGAACAGTTACGAAGTAGATTTGGTGCCTTCGTAACATGTTATGAAGCTGTCAGAGGCGGTTGACATGTACATACTACGAATACCCGGCAGGACCCCTACTGCATGGTTGACCTGACCTGACCTGACCCGAACTGGCCTAAATGCATAAAGACATCATATGTGATCAAAGCTAACATGATATTCGTGATCAGCACCCCGAAAAACCCAGTAGCAGCCACACTTTCCGAGTTACGACGTTTTAACCCTATTCCTGGCGGGGGGGGGGGGGGCCTCAGGAGCCCCCCTGAGGTTTTTTGGTTATATCTCCCAAACGCTTTGAGCTAGGAAGCTCAAATTTTCTGACTTTTTCTAAAAGGCTTTTACGCAACATTTCTGAAAACTTTGAGTTGATCTGACCTCAGGTCAGGTCACCAGAGGCGGTTTGGTGACCCTACCTCAGAAAAGTTTGCAATCACGCCAGAGCTAGAGTTTTTGACCGATCAATTTCTTCTCTTCAGGCTTTAGTTAGGGTACCAGTATGTGCAATTTGTATATCTCAAAATTTTCATATCTGTGACCTGAGGTCAGGCCAGACTCGTGACCTTTACATTGCAAGCCTATGGGAAAATATTGAAACGCCTCCTGCTTCGTGTAAACTAGTCAAAACCACCCAGTTCATTCAGTATTATGGAAGATTATCTCATCGGTGATGATCCTGGTGCCGCTAATTGACAGGGGCACCGACAAAGGTCATCTGAGGTCATGTGACGTCATAAATCGTTTTTCTGTCAATAAATCACGACATGATGGTGCTAAAGACTTGTAAGTGGTACCAAACTGCTCGCCTGGTCAAGGCGCGTCGTGTGGTATGCAGCATGACCATACCCCACAACCTCATTGATGAATGACCTGACCTTGACCTCAGGTCAAATTTTAAATTGACCTGTGAAGGTCATCACATACTTATTTCGCATCGCCTCGGCGAGAGCAACAAAAAATGTGTTGGTTTTATGTCTCTATGTTTCTTAGTTTAAAAGTTATATAGGTAACTAATTCCAAAACATTTTATCGTTGATGACCTCTGGTGACCTCAATATTGACCTGACCTGAAAATGTTTAATGTAAAAGTTGTAGATCTTTAAACGACCTATCAAACGCCGTTCGCCGTTTGTCGCTGCGATGTGTAGTTTTTGAGATCTGAAGGGGGGCCGAATCGGCCCCCCGCCAGTTTCTTGTCCCGGCGGAGCCCGCCAGGAATAGGGTTAAGAGGTCACGATTTTCCCGACTTTTGGGTCATTGACCTGACCTATAGAAGGTCAACCGATGACCTAGGACCTTAAAATTGGGTATTATCGGCTTCCTCTAGTCACGGGCAAGACGCTCGTTTTTTTTTTTTGCGCGAAGCTCTAGCTCAAATTTCAGGGTCGTACCCCTTGTGCCGTCGAAGGACGCGAAATAGCCTGTGTCGGCGAGGGTTAACAGCCTGAAGCTTTTTATTATGACACAAAGACCTAAATCGCATGCTTTCCTTTCAGCTTTAGGCACGTGTGTAGTTGATAATTCAAATTACTCTGAAGATTCACAACTGCGCCATTGCCGATTGGGACCAGCTGGCTTTTGAATTGGTGAATATATTGGCAGGCCGATATGTTGCCTAGCTTGTCCACAGCAGTATAAGCTGACATCTCCTCATTTCTAAGATGTCTCACTCACACTCAATGCGACTGTACTAGCTTTAGGGCTTGGCTTTAGGGAAGTTAGCAGCGCTCAAAATAGTCTACCGGCAACTTTGAATCACTGCTCATCTTTCCGGGTCCACTTACCGTCACCGCTGCTGTCAGACATCCGTTTTCCGGGATGGACGAGTTTAATAGGTATTGACATTTCCGCAGTACGTGTGTTTATGCCGGTAAATACCTTTAACCCGCGCGGGTCTGGGGGGGGGGTAAATTTTACCCCCCCTCGCGAATTTTTGCGATATCTCAAAAACGGCGGCGCGCAGCGCCGCCAAACTTTCAGTACCTTTTCTTACATCAATTTGACACGTTCCCTGAAAATTTGAGCGAAATCCGTCGGAAAATTTTTGAGAAATTGACGTTTTAGTGACGTCATGTTCGCCATTTTCGCCTCAAAAACGGCAAAAGTTCAAACGCCGCTAACATCTTCATTTTTAAGGGAATCAAGACGTAACACAAAAGGTCATACGTAATTTTACTTTGTCTATCAAATGGCTATCTCGGTTTTTTGAAAATTTTGGATTTTGGCCTAATTTTTTTTCAAAAAACTGACTTTTTTGGGAAAATCATTATAAAATCCAAAATTTTGAGTCTATCGAAAAAACCGGAATATATGTCAGAGAAGTGGTCTATGTGCACCCACATACCAAATTTTAGAAGAATCGGTTCAAAAATGTGGGAGTTATTCAAAATTTTATGACGTCACGACACACAAATTTTTTGAAAAATGACTTTTTTGGAAGTTCTAGACCTCGTACGTTAACAAAAATAGCACCATTCGATTCGCCGTGAAAAACTGCATCAGATAGACACCTTTTTAGGCCTTAACAACCAACTTCAAAATTTGACCTCACTTGGCCTGACCTTGACCTGACCTCGACCTGAAATTCATCCAGAGGTGGTCCATATCACTTATTGAGTGTGCCTATTGAATTCTATGAGTAAAATGACCCATAAAACATGTGTCGCACATGCCCTTTTCTATATTTTGTTTTTTGGTGACCTGACCTGACCTGACCTGACCTTGACCTTGACCTCTGAATGATATTGTATGCAACGAATATTGTCTTGGTAGCCTAAGAACACGTTTTGGGCGATCAGTCTCAGTCCATGACTCCATTCTTCGGCAACTACGGTGCAAGGCCGATACTGTAGAAACTTGCAATTTGTACCCTTGACCTGACCTTGACCTTGACCTTAAACTTTAAATTAGGTACATGTTTTTAGTAGTTCGTGATGAGAGCTTTCGATTGGCGTTTGAATTTTCCAAATCGGACCATTAGTTCGGGAGATAACAGGGGGGGGGGGTAAAATTTACCCCCCCCAGCCCCGCGCGTTCGGCTGGAGACCCCAGCCCCGCGCGGGTTAATGCATCTCTCTATTCGCCTATCTTCTTCCGGAACACGATACGGTCACACTGGCGGAGATCCAGAAAGGCGTCTTGGATGCTACGGGGGGGGGGGAGGATACCCCAAACAGTTTCTCCAAATTCCAAAAACTCATCGGCTTTCGATTCCTTACGCACCGATGTGCAGTTTAATTAACAAGTGCAGAAGATCTTTCGTATCTCGATCGAACGCATAAGGCTACAAAAACGCCACGGGGTGTGTTTAGCTCGGCCAGGGTTGGGTCGCTCTTGCTGATATTTTTCCCAATGAACACAGATAAACTCGTAATATATATTGAGACGGGTTACCCAGCACATTGGGTGTGTAAAGGCTTCTCCTGATAAGGTAGTATATCGATACTGGCTGCAGACAACTCAGCTGTGACTGTCCGGTACAGGAGCTGCAGACAGCATGATGGTTTTATAAACTCGTACGTACCTACGCCCTCCGCGATCGCTCGTTCGTTAATAACAATGGGAGGCAAACACGATTTATGTACGCGAAAACAGCCATAGTTTACAGTTTCTTTTTTGCAGATGAGGAACACAGCTGAATTCACTCACAAAACGCCTACACCAAACTTATGTCAGTCTCCAGTTAGACCAGCGCTGTCACCGTTTCCGTTCGGAGCGATTGGGCCTGGAGACGTCAGCGGCCGGCGCTGTGCAGCGTGCGGCCTTATCTTGTGGTCTTCCGTTGTGGTCCCATGCTGTCTCCAGCTCCTGTACCGGACAGTCACAGCTGAGTCGTCTGCAGCCAGTGATCGAGCTGGAGAAGTGGTGAATTTTGGTGATCCTTAAAACGGTTGCTAGATGTATAAGTAGGTACTACAGAACCCTTGAGTGCAAGCGTGAGAGAACGTCATCTGCTAAGGAAGAATCTCACTAGCTACTGTATTTCGAGACGACATTATGTCGCTGCCCCCAAGAACCATCAAATGTGTCCTGATTGGGGATGACAATGCCGGAAAGACGAGCCTCATGCACACGTACGCCTCGGGTCGCCGGCCGTCGCCGTCCTCCTCCTGCCTGGAGGGCCTGTCCAAGATGGTGCACGTGACGGCCCACCACCTGAACGCCACCTACGAGCTGCAGCTGTTTGACACGCTGTCGGGCGCCGGCCAGCTGCGCTCTCGGCTCACGGCCTACTCGGCCTACCGGGACACCGACTGCGCGCTGCTCTGCGCCGACCTCACCGAGCCGTCCAGCTGGCGCAGGCTCGAGGCCGACTGGAAGGCCGAGCTGGACACCCATCTGGCCGGCGTGCCGCTCGTCGTGGCCGGCACCAAGGCGGAGGCGCGCGACGCCATCGAGTCCAGCGACGCCGGCGCCGGCGAGGCGATGGGCTCCGAGCGCGGCCGGCGCGTGGCGGCGCGACTCGGAGCGGCCGCCTACCGCGAGTGTAGCACCGTCACCGGCGACGGTGTGGCGGCTGTGTTTGCCGACGTGCTGGAGGCGGCGCTGCACCCTCAGCGCCGCCTGCCCACCCGGCCGCTGAGTGTGCGCGACCTCTGGGACAAGTTCACGGCTCGATAGCCGCCGCAGGAGGTCAGCTGCCGCCGCTGGTCGGAGGTCAGCTGCGGTCATGTGCGCCGGCCGACTTATGTTCTTCCGGTGTCAGTGAAGCTACATGTTTTCCTGCTACGTAAGCAGAGGGGTGAGGACTGGAAAGCTCACTTCAGACGGCGTTCCACCAACAGCGGGATCACATACCGTTAGGTTGGTGTTGGTTACAGTGAACATTGACATTGGAGGCTTATCTGACAATTTTAGGAATGAAATGTGCTGCTGGAGACCCGCTATTGCTAAGATAAGATAGGACACATTTAAAGAACGCTATGTATTGGGACTATTTCTCGATGCTTTTGAATACATTTGTCACAAAATTGTTCAGCATTTTCAGCCATCTGTCAAGCCTCAGTTTTGTAGGCAGTCGGGGAAGCCTTTAATGTGGTCCTACTATTGTTGGCAAGGAAGAGCTGTCCTAACTAAAACATTGCCCTACAAAGCACCATTCGGGTATAGACGCTTCCGGTATCCGATCTCAAGTATATGAAATATTGCTCTTTACTGCATCGAACTACTTTTTGTGGAAAACAACTAGGATGAATGCTGACACAAGGCCAATTCTAGGTCACCTACGGTCATGTTTGGACACTGGAGAGGCGGTCTAGGTGTGTTTCTCGTTTCACTGAAATGTCAATTGTGCAGTTCACGTGCACCCATTTTGGGGCGTTCATTACCAGCTGTGCCGATCGGAAGAAAAGTGTTATCGTTCTACCCCAGCCACAATAGTCGTTTACCCAAGACGTAAGACGTTTTTTGAAAGGTTCGAAAAATTATTGTCGACCACTCATTTGTAATATGAGCTCATTCCTATCTTCAATAGCAGTGAAGAAAAGAGTTTTCCCCCTTACTGTTGTTTCAAAGCAGCCGGAAAATAGGTAGGTATGTGGTTATGGCATGGCAGTCTTTACACCACCTTCACAATTTTTCCCGAAAGCTTTGCCTTAACCCGCGCACCGACGGGGGGGGCGGATATCCGCCCCCCCTGAGGTTTTTCGCGAATAGCGGGAAAACCGCGGCGCGTAGCGCCGCTAAATTTGGTATGACTATTCCCTTATCAATTTTACACATGGTGTGCAAGTTTGAACCTCCTACCTTTCAAGGTCAGGTCACCAGGTCACTTTGAATGACCCAACCTCAAGTCACTTTTTTGCAACTTTGTCACCGTGCCAGAGCTACAGTAGATGTCGGAGGCCTTTGAAAGTCGCAGGATGTTATTAGGTCATTAGTAGCTACAATTTGTATATCTCGGAATTTTGATATCGGTGACCTAAGGTCAGGTCAATTTCGCGACCTCCCCATTATAAGTCAATGGGGGAAAAATCAACTCCCTGTTTTTACCACTAAAACGGATCGGAATGGCCCCATATACCATACATGACTTCATATACGATCAACCTTCACTACCTTGAGGTCTGTTTTGCTGTTGGGCAGATGTGAGGTCATGTGACGTCATCAAAGGTCACCAAAGGTTTTTGGCCAATAACTCCGTACAGGAACAAGATACAGACGCGTGGATGGTCTCATTCTGTTCAGCTCGTCAAGACGCATCGAATGATATACATGATGACCTCGAGGTCACGTGACCTGAGGTCAACCTTTGACCTTGACCTTTCGAGGTCAACATATATATCATTCGATGCGGATTGATGAGAGGATCACGATGATGCCCTTAGTTTGTTCCTATCTTGACTAATTCGAAAGTTATTCGAGAAAAACTCTCTCCATATTTAGCGCCGCCATTTTGACTTTTTCGACCCCTGTGACGTCATCTTTGACCTGACCTGAAAATGACCTTAGTAAAAATTGTAGATCTTGACCGTGCGTATCCGATGCCGTTTACCGCTTGTCGCTATCTTGCTTCGTTCTCGAGATCTCAGGGGGGGCGGTCATCCGCCCCCCCCCCCCCCGTCGGTACTAAGTTGGCGCAGACCCCCGTCGGTGCGCGGGTTAAAAGTTAAAACTCAAATGAACGTTTGTATTGCATGCCCCTGATAAAACGACAGTCGGTGAAGAGAATGATTTTATATAAAAATACAGTTGCATCATTGATGCAGACATAGACACCAGCATGAAGATCCAGTACGTTTCTGGTACTCGGTGAAATATCTATAAGCGACAAGTCAGCCGAGGCTGTCGCAGCCTCGTCTTGACATCTTCGCCGACAGATGGCGTTGAAGCGCTCTAGTGGGCCAGGATGGCGGCGCCGTTGTAACCGTGAGCAAGACCGAAGGCGCCGTATGTGAGACCGAAGGCGCGACCGGTGGCGACGGCCGATCCGGCAGCGAGGGCAGGGCTGGCAGCGATGGCAGCGCCGGCAGGCACCCCAATGGCGGCACCGGGATGAGCCACGCTGTGTACAGCAGTGACGGTGTTGTGTACGACCGGCTGCACCACCGGCTGCACCACCTCGGTGCTCTCGATCACAGGCGTGACTGGGTAGGGCTCCGGCACGGGCACCGGACGGGGAACGGGCACCGGGTTGGGGATCGGCACGGGCACGTTCTCCTGAGTGTGAGTGATCTCGGGCACGGTCTGGGTGATGTGCGGCTGGTTGACGGTGACGGGACGGCCCTCGGCCGACACCAGGCTCTTCCTCACCAGCGAGGGCAGGCCGGGCGACAGGCCGTTGTCGGGCGTCGGAGGGGGCACGGCGGCGTTCACGTTGGTGAGAGCCACCGGACTGGCGGCAATGGCGGCGGGGGCGGGAATAGCAGCGCCAGCGATCTCCACAGCGGGACCGGGGCCGGCAAAGCCGGGGCCTGCGACAGCCAGGGCGCCAGGAGCACCAATAGCAGGGCCAGCGATCTCCACAGCGGCACCGGGACCGGCAAAGCCGGGGCCTCCGACAGCCAGGGCACCTGGGGCGAGACCAGCAATGCCCGGAGCCTCTCCGATTTCCACAGCGGCGGCGGCAGGAGCAGCGATCTCGACGGCGGCTGGGCCGGAGATCTGAACGGTGGCTGGAGCCGCGATACCCGCCGGGTGCACAGAGGTGGACGAGTACACGTGCGCCAGGCCGAGTGACGGGCCGGCCAGGCCACTGCGCAGGAGGGCGCTGCGCAGCAGGCCTCCCTGAGCCAGCGCCAACAGCGCGCCGAGTACCACCTGGCGGCGGACGGGAGAACCACACCCGGTCAGATGGCGCAGCAGGTCAACGGGGGGGGGGGGGGGGCGATGCAGACATCGACGGAGGCGCCAGTGACCAATAGCAGAAAGGACAGAGCAGGCGCGGTGTCTGTTAATTGTTATTACTAGTCTGTCTTAGTTTTCTGTCACTAAATACTTGATGACCATGTTTTAATCAATTACTTAAGGCTGGGATGATATCTGTTTTTAATCATTCGGTAAATAATTCTATCCAAGGTAGGCATGATAATAATGTTTCAAAATCAGCAGGCACTAAGTCATGCCTAGTTAGAAAGAGCACTAAAGAGAACATTTGCTTCAACACCCAGACGCTGTCAAACACTTACGAAAGTCTTCATGTTTAGAAAGAGATAGGAAGAAGTGTGCGGCTGTGGTTGCTCCGGTTTGTTTTATACTTCAGCCGGCCGGGGGAGTTGCAGTAGGCCTTGAGAGATCGGCTGCCAGGGCGGCTCGGCCACACCCATACCCTACTGGGTGCAGCTCACCCCGACACACCAGCGGCGCAAAAACGCAGCCGCCACACGGACTAACTGGGCCGGGGGCCCGTCTTCCCGTGCTCGGTGCATTGTGCGGGTTGGATACTGATAGCTACTTGAGCCTCACAATTCACTTGCTTGTAAATGTACGAGGTAACTACAATGTACACACCTACATGACAAAGGGGAATGAAGTTTCTGGAGGTGGAAGACCCGAGATACCATTTGACCGTTCAGGCTTTCCGTTTTGCTAACGTGTACGTGGTATGCTGCATATTGCCGAGCTTGGAGGAAAAAAGAGAGAAATAAATGGTAATGTTGAGCCACACGAACTCACGAGACCCTACTGAAGCCTTGCGTGAGATTTTTGAGTTATGACTGAGGCAGATCAGACAATGAGTCCTTACTGGTTGTTGCCCCCTCCCCTCGGCATTTGGCCCTCCACACGCCTGGCAGAGCGTACGATAGACATTTTGTCGTTTTTTGTTGCATTAAAAAATCAAGATATTTTGTTAACAAAAGTTTGCTTTAGATTTCACAGGAACACAAACCAAAGGGAAGCAAATCTGAAAGCTGCTTTTTTTTGGGGGGGGGGGGATTCGAAAAGGTCCCGCACAACATCCAACACCGCCTTTTAGGTAGATGTTACAGGTCATGGTTGGAGCTTTTCCGAGGAAGTTGGTGGGGTAAAAAGTCGTCAAACCTTCAATATTAAAGTTTCAACTTGAATAAAATGCCTAACTAAAACAATTCCTATCCTTCCGGAGATAATCTTTGAAAGTGAACAGATCTTCAAAAGCTCGTCAATGCGATAAAAAAGATTGACAACAAAGACCTACAAATGGGCTGAAGTTGGTGGGGCAAAGTATTTATTAGTGGGGCAAAATGGCAAGCTGGTGGGGCAGCTGCCCCACCAACTATATAGGAAGCTCCACCAGAGGTCCGACTTCGAGAATTCGCTGAAGCCAAGATGCTATCCGCTAATGCTAGATTTCAGGTAGGTATCCTAAAGACCAATCTAAGCCGTAATCGCGACGCTGGATGTAGAAGGCCTTTGATATTAATGCATACATACATACATACATACATACATACATACATACATACATACATACATACATACCTATGCAACATATCTATGGTACAAGGCTATGCAAGCGCCTGCAATGCAGTGGTAAATGTTTTAACTGGTGACAGCAAGAGCAGCAAAGCACAAAGCCTATAATTTCAAGCTCATAGCCATATAATTCGCCCGGCAACAGCGTCAGCACTCTCTGGTCCCGTTGGCTTCAAAGCAACGGGACTGCTCGTCAAGCCGGCACCTGGAAGTGTCACCTATCGACGACAGGTAGGCGCGTCAAACACCGTGTCAAGTACGTCCAGTTTTTACGGTGACGCTGGAGCAGGCGACGCCTTGTTGAAGACTTGCAGCAGATCTGTGGGTGTGTTACAGATGTGGGCTCAAAGTCTGATCCAGCACAGCGTTATATGACATAGGAGCAAACTGATTACCGAGGTCAGCTTTTAAAATTGTGAGAGCCTTGGCCAGTGGCCACTGCACTGTAGCCAACTAAATGTGACCGCTTGATGTCGCCCTACAACTGGTCAGCCAGGCGCAGGACTGTAAAATAAATCTTTGAACGAGATAAGCACAAGGTGCCACTTATTTCAAGGTAGCGCAAGAGCGTCTGCATTTGAACTGACATAAGATGCGTGGGAGCTTGCGCCTCATACAGTGTTCGACAAGAACTTTAGACCACCACTTCACGACCAGTATCGGCTTTAGACTGGTTTGGGACGCACGGACGCATTTTTTAACTATAAAGACCGTCTCATTGGACGGCGGACGTTGCTAGCGTGGTTTGGGGCGAGACAGTTACACCTTACTTTTCCAGACCGAGACTGGTATCACGATTTCAGGTCTACTGAGCCTTGACACCTCTATAGTCTAAAGTATCAGAGTTGAGATTAACTTATCCTTAATTGGCAGCGGAGTTGTGACAACACAAACTCCCCTCCTCCCGCTAAGATTTTAACCCGCGTATGACTGGAGGGGGGGGGGGCTCTACAGAGCCCCCCTCCCGTTTTCGGCAATATCTTCTAAACCGTTTTACGGATCAAGATGAAACTTGCAGTCAGGGGCGGATCCAGGAAAACTCCAAGGGGAGGGTCATGAATCGAAGTGGTGCCCCTACCTATACCCAAAATTAAAAACTCAACGGATTTCGTCCACTTCATTTTGGTGGTGCCCCATTTTCAGTTTTTTATTTTTATTTTTCATTTTTAGTCATTATCTTACCTCTTAGCCACAACCACATTTACCAATTGTAAGCAAGTATATATGAATGTGCTATGTGTATATATGTTGTGGACGCTGAGTAATGAGTACTTACCAGGAACGTTATCAGGTAAGCAAATCGTTGTCAGTCCGACGAACTTGACCCTGGCGTCTAAAGGGCCTGTCCTTGACACTTCAGGCTTGTCAGGGGCACCAAAGTTCTTCCAGGGACACCACAAACCTGTCAGGGGCACCTACGGCCTTGTAGGGGCGCCACAGGCCCGCCAGGGGCACCACAGGCCTGCCAGGAAGCAGGGGCACCACAGGTCTAGCAAGTATACACGACAGGCCTGTCAGGGGCACAACGGGCCTGTTGGGCCCATGAGCATGCCTAGGGACAGGGGCACCACAGTCCTTCCAGGGGCACCGCAGGCCTGTGAGGGGCACCAGCGGCCTAGCAGGGGCACCAGTCAACACAGGCCTGCCAGGGGCACCACAGACCTGCCAGGGGCACCACAGACCTGCCAGGGGCACCAGAGGCCTGCCAGGAGCACCACCGACCTCGCAGGGGTAACTTGGGCCTGTCAGGGCCCAGGGGCACCACGGGCCTGTCGAGAGGCACTTCAGGCTTTTCAGGGGCACCAAAGTCCTCTCAGGGCGCAGGGGTAGCAGGGGCACCAGAGGCCTGCCAGGGGCACTACAGGCCTAGCAAGGGCACCACTGGTCTATCAGGGGCACCACGAGCCTGTCATAGCCAGGCATCTCAGGCTTGTCAAGGCCCAGGGGCACCACAGGTCTGTGAGGGGCACCAGCGACCTAGCAGGGGCACCAGTCAACACAGGTCTGCCAGGGGCGCCACAGACCTGCCAGGGGCACCACAGACCTGCCAGGGGCACCAGAGGCCTGCCAGGGGCACCACCGGCCTCGCAGGGCCACCTTGGGCCTGTCAGGGGCACGACGGGCCTGCCGAGGGGCACTTCAGACTTTTCAGGGGCACCAGTCCTCTCCGGGCGCAGGGGCACCAGAGGCCTGCCAGGGGCACCAGCGGCCTAGCAAGGGCACCAGAGGCCTGCCAGGGGCACCACAGGCCTAACAAGGGCACCACGGGCCTGTCAGGGGCACCTCAGGCTTGTCAGGGGCACCTCAGTCTTGTCAGGGCCCAGGGACACCACAGTCCTTCCAAGGGCACCGCAAGCCTGTCAGGGGCACCAGAGGCCTGCCAGGGGCACCACAGGCCTAGCAAGGGCACCTCTGGCCTGTCAGGGGCACCACCGGCCTTGCAGGGGCGCCTCAGGCCTGTCAGGGGCACCACGTGCCTGCCGGGGACACTTCAGGCTTGTCAGGGGCGTTACAGTCCTGTCAGGGCCCAGGGGCACCAGGCCCGTGGTGTCCCTGCTAGGCCTGTGGTGCCCCTGGCGGTCCTGTGGTGCCCCTGTCAGGACTGTGATACCCCTGATAGGCCGGTGGTGCCCCTGGAAGGTCTTTGGGCCCCCGGGCCTCAAGGGGGGGGGCCATGACCCATGTGACCCCCCCCTTGGATCCGCCCCTGCTTGCAGTGCCCTCAGCGGCATCAATTTGACACCTTGTGTTAAAATTTCAACTTTCTAACTACCATATTTTGGCCGGAAATGACGTCAGAGTGACGTCATGTCAGCCGATTTTGATGCAAAATATTGAATTACGGCAAACGCTCTCAAGAGCTTAGTTTTAAAGCTAGATCCAATTTCTTTGCATCAGTGGACTACAAATACACATAGCTATCAAACTACTATCTTGAATTTTCAAAATTTTGAAGATTTTGAAAAAAAAATATTTTTTTACAATTACATTTTTTCAAAAGGTTTTTGATTTTTGGCAAAAACCGGAATATATGTGATAGAACACACACTGATAAACTACTCTAGCAAGTTTAAACCCAATACCTTCAAAAGTAGCCAAGCTATTTGCATTATTGTCAAAATTTTACAATAATATATTTTTAAAAACCAGTTTTTAGTACGTTTTTGACATCGTACAGCAATATAACTGGCACCATCGTGTTCCTGACTTCAAACTGCATCTGAAAGACACTTTGTTGAAAAATTTCGTTTTCAAAATGTGACCTTTTCTGACCTGAAATTGACCTGACCTCCGGTAAATTCAGCTGAAAATGACCTCAAATGACCCAGCCGACAATATTTTCGAAATTTACGTGTAAAATGGACCATAAAACATGCGTCACGTGACCGATACATGATATACAATTTTCGTGACCTAGGATGGCCTGGCCTTGACCTGAAAAATTCAAAGTAAAAGTTCGGTACCCTCAGGTTATCTAAGTCATATACCAAGGAGTGCGTAGAACAAAAATGAGCCTGATCGGACTTGTCAGTCGGCGGCCAGAGCCTAAATTGTAAACAAGAAAAAATGCCAATAATTTTTACTTTGACCTGACCTGTGACGTCATCGGTGACCTCGAGGTCAATGAAAATAGGTTACGCTCGACAGTTTTTCCGGTACTATCAGACGCCGTTTGAATTTTGACGATCGGCCCAGTAGTTTCGGAGATAGGAGGGGGGTTCTGGAGAGCCCCCCCCCCCCCTCAGTCACTCGCGTTATGGAAAATGCCCCAGTCATGCGCGGGTTAAGCAAGGGCCAAGGCCGTTAAACTGCCAGACCTGGCTTAAC